TTTTGCTAGATAGGATATCGACAGTAATGAATAACAACCAATGTTCATATTCTGTCCGTGGCAATATTGATCATGTTCAGTCACTTAAGAGAAAGTAAAATAGTCATGATCACAAATTGCTAATCATCTACGGATTCGGACCGGTGGAGACAATGCGTGGGTCTCCCCCTGGGTTCTGTTGTGCTCTGTACTTCACAGGAGAGCTCCAGAGACGTGGGCACCTTCCATGGGCGGCAGCTGTGCCTGCATCTGCATTAAGAGCGCGGAGGCCACTGTGAGTAATGGCCAGCATTCTTTTTGGTTTAAGTGCTTTTTTTCTTTTAAGATTTTTCACTGCATTATTCAAAAGCATTAACACAATCAAACAAGAGGAGACACGTCAATGTTAAATGTCAGATTAACATGAAACGTTGGGTTGATTAATCCATATAGAAACGCTGAGCTCGGTGAATGGAAGGAACCTGGGCTTGGTGGAAGCGATTGTAAGAAATGAATGTTCGGGCTATTTAAGAATCTTACTCGGGTGTTTTTGGGATTAATGAATTCAACAAGGAACAAATGTAGGTAATAATGGAGAACGAAGGCCAACCCTGGGCCAACAATGCTCACTGGTGCTTTATTGGGGCATGTGCACGGGATAAGGGTCTGGAACTCGACGTCCAACACAGATAGAGTCCAGCTCGCCCTTTTTTTTTTGACGGGAACCTGTGGCCAGATGTCAGCATTATAAAAGGACCCTGTTCTTGGTCTTTGAGTTCATGAATTTTAAAAATATTATTATTAAAGATTTAATGGCAGAATAAATAGACAAACGTATAAATGAATAAAGATGAAGAGAGTGAAGCTTTGTTCATGAATAAAATATGTAATAATGAAAATGAATATCAATATAAGTGGGAAAGGTTAAAAAAGGGCCAAGTGTATTATGCATTTGATGAAGGGTGGCTTGCACACTGACAGGTAATAATTATTGCCCTCAGCCAGGTATTAGTTTGAAGTTTATTTTATTAAGAGAAAAATAAATAAGTATTACCATTAATTAAGAAATGCCGCAATGCTCTGTATATGAATAGTGGACAATATGGCACTATAGAGAAAACGTCTCCACCTGCTAAATTTTTTAAAAATAAATATGTAGTTGAATTTTAAAATATATTCTGATGGTTTGTGACATGTCCGGATAATCTGTTATTTTACATGATTTGATGGCCAATCTATTTGTATGTATTTCGAACTTAACTTTTGTTTTCTCTTTGTTGTTTTATTCTGTTTCCCTCCCTTTTTGAGCTAATTTTGATTAGTTATAATGGTTTGTTTCTTAATTTAACTATTTTCTTCACTAATTTGATATATGTTGATTCTAATTATATTCCTATAGGGGATATCTCTAAATTTTAAAGTCTATATTTACATTAAATAATAAAATTAATATGTTATATTGCATTGTCTTCTTGTACTTTTCAGAGTGAACACACTGCACCAATTTCAGCCTCCGCCATGATTGAGGATATGTTACCTTTGTGTTGGAACACACCAAGGTGAAAGGTAGCCAGAGAGCTTTCCTTGATTTGGATGATTTTTTTCAAGAGTATTCATGATATTAGTACAAAGTAATAAATATAACTTTAAAAAGTGAACTGTGGATCCATGACAAATATGACCTGAAACCTTACATTGATTAATTGATAATTTGCAACACTGAGGTCAATTAATGAAAAAGATAGAATCTGTGTGGTACAGAAGCGAGGTTATTAAATGCTCTTTTTCTTGTGATTTTATGAAGCATCGTGTATTTATTTTTATTATCAATGAATTAATGATTTTATAATTGCAAATGTAGAAACAATGAAGAAAAAGAGACCCAGAAATGGACCGATGGCGAATGGTGGCATGGGAGTCAGAGATGGTGAGGACAGGTGTCTGTGACTCTGTCTGTAACTCTTGAGTCCACAAGAATCAGAATCTGGTTTGTAAATGGCCCAGTGGGTCAATGTTAGGAATATAGAAAGATCATATTCTGATTTTGACTCCATTGATTTAGATTTATTGTTATTAATCAATCAGTAATCAAACCTTTAGGAATGTAATAAAAACTAAAGGAGAAGAAATAAAACATTGTCTAGCTAGGAAATATTTTAATAAGATTAAAATCATACTAATTAAGCAACGAGTGGACGGAGCAAATGCTTTTTTTCCCTACGAACCCTAGAGACACAGTTGAGTAAGACTCAATATTATTGCTTTGGGTCAGTCTTAAGTTTAAGATTTTCTTTTGATAAGAGAACATATACTACATTATGAGAAATGAATGAACATCCAAAAGAATAAATAAAATGCAGAAAACAAGCATCAGTGGAGATGAAGTTTGAAATTTTTTATTTTCTGCTCTGTTCTGTACTCCGCAGAGTGGATGATTGAGCCGATTTATGGATTCTTCCATGGGCACAAGCTCTCTGGTTGCATGTCTGCGTTAAAAGCATGGAGATTAAGTGAGTAACAGTCAAAATTATTTTCTTTGCTTTGTGGTTTTAAAAAAGTTTTTTACTGCATTATTAAAAATTGTGAAATACCTGCAATGATTGCCAACCATGGCCAAATAATTAAAATGAGGTTAACATGAAGCATTATGTTAATTCATCTATATAAGAAACATTGAGGTCAATTAGTAAATGATCTATATTGTCCATGAGAAATAATTTATACACAAATGTTAGAGATATTTAAGGGTCTTGTTTTGAGTTTTTGTTATCTCTAAGTATTTATTTTGGTATTATTAGTGATTTGGTTAGTTAATCAATAAAAATATGTAGACATTAATTCAAAAGGACATATGCACCCTTATATTCACTGCAGCATTATTTACAATAGCCAAGATATAGAGACACCCCAAGTGCCCATCAGTAGACAAGAAGATAAAAAATGGTGGTATATCTACAAAATGGAATATTAGTCAGCCATAAAAAGGAATGAAATCTTACCGTTTGTGATAGCATGGATGGACCTATATGGTATTATACTCAGTGGAATAAGTTAGTCAGAGAAATATGATTTCACTTATGTGTGGAATCTAAAGAACAAAATAAAATTGAAGCAGACTTGTAGACACAAAGCCAACTGGAGGCTGCTAGAGGGGAGGGAATTGGGGAACTAAGGGAAGGACGTGAAGGGATTAAAAAGTACAAATTGGTAGTTACAAGATAGTCATAGAAATGTCAAGTACAGCTGAGGGAACACAGTCAATACTATTGCAATAACTCTGTATGGTGCTACTTAAAGTCCTGGAAAGATTGAGGGGAACACTATGCAAAGTGTGTGATTGTCTAATTATTAATCTGTACACTTGAATCCAATACAAAATAAAATCTAAAGTAAAAAGAAAATGAGGTACATGTCTTCAAGTCTACACAAATGTGTCTCTAAAGCGTAAGATTTTGTCAAATAAGAAAGTCCCAGAAGGAGGTCCACACTTTTGTTCTATTTGTATAACATCTTAAAACTAGCAAAACAAAAAAGTTAGTGTTTAGAAATGCATCCCAAATGGTACAACTGAAACGAAGCAAGAGTGATGGACACACAAACAAATGCGAATATGTCATGTTGATATTAATGTAAGAGATACCTATTTTGGCAATGATTCTGAAGGAAATAGTTAAGGATATTCAAGTATCTTGTTAATTGGTTTTTGTTAATCATGTATTATTTTACAGTTAGCATGAAGTAACGATTTAATTGATATAAATATATAAATGAATGAACTAAAAGTGGGCTTCTCATGAACCTATGATCAGGACTGGTTGGCAGATGAGTCATGAGCAATAAATAATAATACATGTCTTGGAACCCTGAGTCCAATACAAAACACACTATATTTTCTCTGTTTATTTGATCCAATGGACAGATTTTAAGAATGCATTCAGATAATTTTCTCAATTTGGGTTAATAGATTAAGATTTATTTTTATTAATGGATTGATGATAGAACCATTAAAGAAATATAAACAATAGTTTAAGAAGAAAAAATGAGTTATCTACTATAAACACATGTGGTAAGACAAGAACTATTAATAAAATTGTGGCCCTGGCTGGAAAAGCTCAGTGGTTAGAGCATCAATCCATGGTTTGGAGAGACCCGGGTTCGGTTCTTGCTAAGGGCATGCACCTCGGTTGCAGTTTGTCCTTGTCCCTGGTTGGGGTCATGTGGGCGGCAGCCAGTCAATGCATCTCTCTCACGTCGATGTTTCTCTCTCTCTCTTCCTCCCTCTCTCCCTCTCACTCTATCTGAGGATGAATGCAAAAACGTCCTCGGGTGAGGACAAAAACAAAACAAAACTGAACACTGATGCCCATTAAGAAATAAGTGGATCAAGGGTGTCACCTTTTTGGCCAAGAGTCACACAGACATGAATCCGTAAGAGTTAATTTTATTGTTCTGGGTTAATCTCATGTTTGAGTTTGTTCTTTTTGTTAAGAGAAAAAAAATCTACATAATGAAAAATTGATATATTTTGTAAATGACCAAGTAAACAACATGTGGAAAGTAAGACTCAATAGGAATAAAAATTGTATTTATTTATTTTTTATAATCAACTGCGCTTTGTGCTTTTCAGAGTGGACACATCATTATTCCATGGTGCTAAGCTCCGACTGCCTATCTGTGGGAGGTACACAGGCCAATGTGAGTCACCGTCAAAGTTCTTGTCTTGATTTCACTGATTTTTCTTTCAGAGTAGTCAGTGTATGATTCAATAGTTTCCTACATAATCACAGGAGGCCAACTGTAGCTCAATGATAAATATAGAATTTTATGAAACGTTACAGTGATTGATGCATAAATGAATAACACCATAATTTTAAAAAGAGACTTTGATGTAAGTGATTCTATTCATGGATTAGAGAGAATGGCACTTCCAGTGTTTTGGGGAATAACAGGGTTTTTAATTTATTATTAGTGAATTAATTAGTCTAAACAAAATAGAAAGGTGTGGAAGATAGGGGCAATATTGGATCATTGATGACTACTGGTGGTGCATGAGCCCTATACGATGAATATGTGTCATATTCTGAGGTCCAACAGAAATGCAATGTGGTCCGTTGTCCTGATTGAAGTGATTCTATGGACAGATGTCAAGAATACACAGGATCTTGTTTTTCTTCTTTATGCTCATACATTTTCTTTCTACTTTCATGATTGGATCAATAAAATCAATAAATATAAATAAATAAAGATGAAGGTGGTGAAATATTGCCCAATTATAAAAATATGTGGTTAGGAAAGGAATAGTATTAATGTATATTTAAAACACTGACATCTAGAAGGGGATATATGGTACAAGGTTGGTATTCATTGACGAAGGATGATATAGATATTGATAAGTAATAGTTTGTGTTCTCTCTCAGTGGCTAGGTCAATATTTGTTCACTTAGAGAAAATAAAATAGACATTATTCACTGCTTAGTAATGATGGACTAAATGATGGGGACCAGTGGACATAATCTCAATCTTCTTTTGTTACTTGCTCTGTCTGTACTCCTTAGACTGGTGGCATCGGGCTGATTTTAGCTCCTTCATGTTCATGAGCTCTTTGGTTGCATCTGTGTGTTAAATGCATGGAGACCAATGTGAGTAAAAGTAAAAATTTTTTTCTTGGTTTTGTGTTTTTTAAAAAAGTTTTTTACTGCATTATTAAGAAGTGTGAAACAATCGATGATTGTCACATCTTGAAAATAGTAATATTGGGGTTCATATGAAGCATTATAGGAAACCTGTTAACCTGTATAGGAAATATTGATGTCAATTAATGAAAGGTATATATTGTTAGTAAGAAGTGATTATAAAGACTAATGTTAGAGATATTCAGTATCTTCTTTTAGATTTTGTCCTCCATAGTTGTTTATTTGGTTCTGATGAGTGACTTAATCAATAAAAACATGTAGACCTAAATGAAGACAGTGAGGCTCAAACCTGGATAAATGGTGATGACTGGCGGCCTGTCTGAGTCTCGGATGATGACCCCCCCAGGCCTGGAATTCTAAAGTCCAACACACCAAGGTGAGTAGTAATTAGAGATTATGTTTGGGTTGGGGTAATTTGTTCAGGGGTATCACTCTCACATTATTAAAAATTAATAAATATAGCCCTGGCGGGTTGGACTCAGTGATTAGAGCACTGGTCCATAGACTGAAGGGTCGTGGGTTTAATTCCAGGTCAAAGGCACATACTTGGGTTGCAGGTTCTATCCCTGGCCCTGGTTGGTCGAGGTATTGCGGAGGCAACCAATCAGTATGTCTCTGTCACATCAATCTCTCTCTCCCTCTCTTCCTCCCTTTCACTCTACCTAAAAATCAATGGAAAATATCCTTGGGTGAGGATTAACAACAACAAAAAGTTAATAAATATAATCAAAAAGTAATTTATTGCCCCATGCTACGTATGATATAATATGTGACATTGAGATTGATTAATGAGAAAGACACAATCTATGTTGGCAGATAATAGTTAGGGATACTCAGCATTGTTGGCTCCTCACCTCTTGTTTATCATGTATTTACTTTATTATCATCAATGATTCAATCAAACCTAATGTAGAAGTTAATGAAGTGAAAACTGGCATCTGGACCAGCATCTGGACTGTCCAGATGAGTCCGGACATTGAATGAGTATCTGGAGCTCCGAGGGGCAACACAATGCGTGGTCTGTTCTCTTTGTGTCTTTGCTCCTGGGGACAGATGGTTGGGAGGCACAAAGACCATGCTTTTACTTTCGATTCATACGTTCAGATTTACTATTATAGCTGGATAGTAATGGGACCATTGAAGATGCATACATACAGATAAGTATAAACATGTCAAGTGTTGTCCAGTTAGGAGCACAGGTGATGAGGCAAGAAATATTAATAAAAATGACAAACACCGATACCCATTAAGAAACAAAGGGGTCAAGGGTGTCACCTCCTTGGCCAAAGTTCACGTAGCTATGAATAACAAAGCTAATTTTATTGTTCTGGGTCAGTCTCAAATTGGAGGTTTTTTGTTTTCATTTTGTTAGAAGAAAAATGTCTGCACGATATAACATTTACAATTTTTCTCGATTTAAAAAAAAAATTTTATTGAAAATTTTTTGGGTAACATTGTTTAATAAAATCATTATAGATTTCAAGTATCCAAGTCTATGATACATCATCTAGATAGTGTGCCTACCACCCACAGTCAAATCTTAAATAACCAAGTTCAGGAAAGCGAAAGTCAATGGGATGAAAGGTTTTATTTATCTATCTGTCATCAAACTGGCTAAGTATCGTGCTCTCGAGCTGTATGATGACGTCTCTGTCTGAGGGGCACACACGCCAGGAGTCATTGCCACACTTCTGGTCTTGATTTTAGTGATTGTGTTTTTCAGAATATTCAGTGTGTCATTCAAAAGTTGCATACAGAATTACAGCTCTAGCTCAGTGATAAGGAATGAATTTTGTGAGACATTATATTGATTAGTGCATAAATATAAAACAACATAATTTTAAAAAGATACATTAGATTCTATTTACACATTAGGGATATCATGACTTTTCTTGTTTCTGTTTTGTGAGTAATTAGGGTTTTAAAGCTATTCCTTAGTGAATTATGAACTAGACAATAAACAGTAGAAATGAATAAGCAAAGTAGGGGCAATATTGTATCGGTGACGACTACTGGTGGCGTGTGCTTCCTATACAATAGTCATACGTGCTGAACTCTGAGGTCCCACACAAAAGAAATATAGTCCACTCCAGGTGTCAGGAACATATGAGGATCTTGATTTTGACTTTTATGTTTATGCATTTTCTATCTATCTTTATGCTTTGGTTAATAACTACACATAAATAAAAATGAAGGTGGCAAAATATTGTCCAATTATCAAAATATGTGGTTAGGAAAGGAATAGTATTAGCGTATATTTAAAACAATGACATTGATAAGGGTTTATATGGTACAAGATCAGTATTCTTTGGCCAATATTGATATAATATTGACAAGTAGTCATCAGTGTTCCTGTCTGTCAGCGATTAGATCAATATTAATTTATTTACTCATGAGGAATTAAGATATACATTGACCTAATGCATTGATTATGTACATGAAAGTTGAAATGCAATGACATAAGGTCTCAACTTTTTTTTAAATTATCTGTTCTGTCTTGTGCTTCGTAGCTTGGTCACATTTGGATGGTTCCAGGATCTTCCACAGTCAGGAGCTCTGTGGTTTCATTGATGTTTTAGAAGCATGGAGACCAATGTGAGTACACGTCAAAGTTCTTTTCTTGGTTTTGTTTAAAAAGGTTTTAGCTGCATTATTAACAAGGTGATATAAAATTAAAAAAAATAATAAGCATGACCTATGAAACATTATATTAATTAATCTACTGGAAAACATTGAAGTTAATTAATGAAATATTTATAGTCAGTAGAAAGTAATTCTATAGATAAATGTTAGAGGTACTTCAGGATTTTCTTTCACTTTTTATGACTTTCAGGCATTTCTTTGATTTTAGTTAACTGATAAATTCAGGCAATACAAACATGTAAACATTAATGAATATAATGAGGACCATACCTAAACCAGTGATGGTGATTGGTCAGTTTTGGGTCTTGGATGATGAATACTAACTGTGGTCCAACATGGAACATAAATCTATTCTTTCCATTGGAATCACCTCTATCGAGGCATGTCAAAAGTATACAAGGATCATATTCTTGTGTGAATTTCATAGATGTTGATCTGTTATTAATGCTATAATGATGGGACCATTCAACAAATATAAATAAGTATTTAAAAACTAAGAGGGTGGTCCATCCAGTGTGGCTCAGTGGATTGAGCATCGTCCCATGGACTGAGAGGTCCTGGTTTGATTTCCAATCAGGGCACATGCCTGGGTTTCAGGCTTGATCCCCAGTAGTGGGCGAACAAGAGGCAACCGATCCATGTTTCTCTCTCACATGGGTGTTTCTATCTCTCTCTCCCTTCTTTCTAAAAAAAAAAAAAAATAGATAAAAACATATTTTTTAAAAATAAGAGGGCAAAGCATTATCCAACTTTTAAAATGTGTGGTGATGCCTTTTAAGAGGTAAATGGATACAGGTCTCACCTCTTTGACTGAGGTCTTAATCACTCTCATAAGGAAGAGTCCATTTGATTTTTCTTGGTCTTGAAGATGGAGTTTTTCATTTTTTTTAAAAAAAATAAATTTTTAAGAAAAATAAATCAATAATGAATTTATGAAACATGGACAGAAAGGATCAAAGATGATCAGCACTCTCTCTCTCTCTCTCTCTCTCAATTACCTTCTATGCTGTACTCCTGAGCACGGGACACTCGAGCTGATGAAAGCATCTTCCATGGTCATGAGCTATAAGGTTGCCTCTATATAAGAAGACAAAGGTTAATGTGAGTAATAGTAAAAGTTTTTTTCTAAGTTTCCATGTTTGTTTGTTTTTAAGAAAAGATAATTCATTGTATTATTAGAAAATCTGAAATAGAATTAAAGAAGGCAACTGCATCTGGTGATAAATATGGGGTATATGGAACATTATATTGATTAATCCAGGGAACAACTGAGGATAATTAACGCAAGTGATACATTGATGTTAGAATAATCAATGTATAGAATAGGGATTTAAAGGCTCTTCTAGGGTTTTTGTTTATCATGGTTTAGAAATTATGATGAGTAAATCAGTGATTTAATCAATACACCTATAGAATCAGCTGAAGGAAGAGAGAGACAATATTGGATCGATGATGAGCACGGGTGGCGTATGAGACATATACGATGAATATGTGTCGATCTCTGAGGTCCAACAGAAAATAAATTGAGTCCATTCCAGCTGTTTAAAGGAATCCTATAGATAGAGGTCAGGAATAGACAAGGACCTTGTTTTTGGTCTTAGTCTTTATACATTTTCATTCTATTATTATGATTGGATCAATGCAAGAATCTATAAATTTATAAATCAACAAAGATGAATGTAGTGACACATGGTCCAATTGTAAAACTGTGGTTATGCGAGAAATACTATTGATCTGTTGTGAAAATTCTGAAGTTTAATGAGAAGTAAACGCGACATGACTGCTTCCTGTGGAAGGGAGACAAACAGTCGAAGTTCTAGACAGCGTTCAGATTCTGGGTTAATTTGCAAGATCAACGCTGCTCTTTTTCTTAAGGAAAGTCATATGCCCCATTAATGATCACCCCAACTGCTGACTAAACAAAATGTGAAAAGCACGGATCAGTGGAGAGAATATGTCTCAACTCTTTTTATCTGGTCTGCTTTATGCTTCTCAGGACAGACACATTGGACCCAATTTAAGGATTCTTCCTTAAACAGGAGGCGTGGAAGTGACCAATTGTGAGTAAAAAGGGAGTTCTTACCTTGGTTCTGCTGTTTTGTCTAAGGATGGTCACTGTATTCATTAAAAATGTGAAATATAATAAAAGAAGGAGAACTGTATCCTAGCAACAGTTACCCGATTACTAGGAAGCATTATATTGATTAAAGCACATGTGAAAACTGGAGATAATGACAAAGATATTGATGCAGGTATGATTCTTGATACATATTAGGGCTATTAAGGTCATGTTGAGCTTTGGAGAGTCATAGATCTTAAAACTTTTAATTCATGAATTAATCGATAAGCAATGTGGAAATGAATGACGACAAGGTGATCTTCTGAGTCAGTGATAACTGCTAGCTTATGAGTCATGGCTGTTGAATAATATACATGTCTGGAACTCTGGCATCCAACACAGAAAACACGGGGTGTTTCTCGGCATGCATTTTCATTCTTTGTTATAATTGGATCAATGATTTATCAATGAAGAAATATATAAAAATAAAGCTGAATGCTAGTTGCATTGTCCAATTTAAAACAATGCGCGGAAGCGATAAATTCTATTAATGTAATTTGAAAAGAGTGACGTCCAAAGAGAAACAAATGGTACTGTAAGCTCTCTGGCTAAGAATGCTATAGACAGGGTAAACGATAGACAACATTTATGGTTTGGGTTAGTGGGAAGTTCAAAGTAGTTTGTTTTCATGAAAGACAATGAGTTAAATGCATTCCCATAACAAGTGCCTAAATACCTCTGTGAATGATGTAAAATGAGGATCAATGGAAGGAAGTCTCTGTTTTTGTCATCTGCGCTGATCTCTATGCAGAATGGACGTACTGGAGCTGATTGTAACATTCTTCCGTAGAGATCACAGGAGTAGCAAAGTTATTGTCTTAGCTTGAATGGTTAGTTTAAGGGTATTCACTGTATTATTCAAAAGTATTAAACGTGATCAAAGAAGGTGAAATAGGCCAATGTTAAATAACAGATTGATAGGAAGCATTTTATTGACGAATCCATAAATGTAATACTGAGGTCAGCTAATAAAAGAGATTTAATCTCTGTGGAAATGCATCTACAGATGGATGGTAGGGATGTCAAAGGATCTTATTATTGTTTTTCAAATTAATGTTTTTTTATTTATTAAGAAATTAATAAACGAATGTCTATGAGAAGGAAAAGAAAGAGAGACAGTCATGGGCCCATGAGGACTACAGGACAGCGAATACTCTGTGTCTGGAACTCTGAGGTCTACATGAAAGGTGTCACTGCCCACGTGTCAAGGCATCCTCCAGGGGTGGGTACCATCTGGCCCAAGGGCCCTATAAGGCCCTCAAAATCAATACCAGCTAAAATCACATGCCTCACCAAATTAGCCTGAACCAATAGAGCAGGCTAATTTTTAAGTTGATAATTTTGTATGGCCCGTGAATGAAGTATCCAAGTGGCCCTTGGCAGAAAAGTTTCCCCACGCCTATGAGATGTGAAGCCTGTACATCTATGTTGATCTCTGGTTTCACTATTATAATAATACTTACAAAGAATCAATGACAGAATAAGCAATAAGTATATGCTTGAGTACAGAGGAAGAAGGCAAAGTATTATTCTTTGATAAATATCTATTAAGGTAAAAGAATATTAATATTCATTAGAATGAATAATAATTGGAACAAATATGTTACATTTTTGTCTAAGGTTGATAAAAACAATGAAATGTAGTCAATCAATTGCCTGAGTCAGTTGCAGGCTTGAAGTTTATTTTATTAAGTTAAAAATAACTAAATATTATCATAAGTCAATAAATGCCTAAATGACTATGCAGATAAATGGTGAAAACTATGAATCAATGGAGAAAAAATTTCAACGTGTTGAACAACTTCTCTGCTTGGTACTTTTCAGAACAGGTAATCAAGTTAATTTTGTCTACTGCCGTGATCAAGGTTGCTATGTTGCCTTCTTACAAGGAAAGAGACTAAAGTGAGTAAAAGTCTAGGGTCTTGTTTTGGTTTGGGTCATTGTTTAAGGATATTTGCAGTATTACTAAAAATAATAAATATCAAAAAGGTACCTATTGCCCAATAATAAATATAATACAAAACATTATCTTGATTAATAATATGTAACATGGAGATTGATTAATGAATGACATACAGCCTATGTTGGTAATGATTCTACAAGTAGAAGTTAATGATATTCAAGGATCTTGTTCTTAAGTTTTTGTGAATCATGTATTTTATTATTAATGAATTAATTTATTAATCAATACACATGTAGAAATGAATGAAGAAAAAGTAGACTTCTAGTGGATCAATGATGGTGGTTTAGCAATTGAAATAATATGTGTCTGAAACTCTAAGGTCCAACATAATGCCTAGTGTATTCTCTCTGTTGTATATGACAATGTAGACAAGTATTAAGGCCATACAAAAATTATATTCTTATTTTGGCTTCATAGATTTATATTTAGTATTAATGGATATATATAGAACAATTAAGGAAATAGGAATAATAAATAAAGAAGAAAAGATGAAACATTGTGCAAATTGAAATATATATATATGGTGAGAAAAGAAAGACTATTGAAATGGTGCGAACACTTGCAATCATTGAGGAATATGCTGACCAATGGTGTTATCCCTTTGGCTATGGATCCCATAGGTTGCCCTTGAGAACATCAAGCCAAGCGAAATAAGTCAGAAAAAGTTAAGAATCATATGATTTCACTCATATGTGAGATATAAAACTGAAAGTAACAAATGAACAAACAAGAAAAATAAACAAACAAAACCTTGTAGACACAGAGGACAGTGTCGTGCTACCAGAGGGAAGGGGGAATGGGGGGAGGTAAAGAAGAATGGGGTCAAGTATATGGTGATGAAAGATGATTTGACTTTGGGTGATGGGCACACAATGCAATATACAGGTGATGTATTATAGAATCGTACACTTGAAGCTCATATAATCCTATTAACCAGTGTCACCCTAATCAAATTAATTGAAAAAGAAGAAAATAAAGAAAAATAATTGAGAGTTAATTTATTGTTCTGGATCAGTCTCAAGTTTGAGTGTCCCCCCCCCCCTTTATTGCTTTGAGAGAGAAGGGAGAGGGAGAGATAGAAACATTGATGAGAGGGAACATCGATTGGCTGCCTCCTGCACACCCCCCTCTGGGGATCGGGCCCACAACCTGCCCGGGAATGAAACCGGTGACCCCTTGGTGCATGGGTCGACGCTCAGCCACTGAGCCACACTGGCTGGGCTGAGATGGTTTCTTTTAAGAGAAAATAATCTCTACAGAAAAAGTTTGAATACCTAAAAGACTCCGTAAATGAGATGTGGAAATGAAGCTCCAGTGAGTATAAATTTTAATATTTTCTTCTGTTCAACTTTGCTTTGAACTTGTCAGCATGGACCATTTGCGACCATTAATAATGATTCCATGGGGCAGCTCCATGATAATATCCCCATATTAGCAGCACAGAGGCCAACGTGAGTAATAGTCACAGTTCTGTCTGGGTTTCAGTGATTTCTTTTTTTTTCAGAGTATTTAGTATATTTATAAAAAGTACCAGATAGAATCCAAGAAATCCAGTTGCAGTCCATTGATAAATGTTGAATTAATATGAAACAGTGTATTGAGTAATGCTCAAATTAAATTTGGGATTATTAATGAAGAAGGTATACCAATGTGAGAATGATTCTAGAAACATAATAGAGATATTGATGTCTTCTTGGTTTTGTTAATTATCAAGTTTTAAAATTTCATTTAGTGCTTAATTAGCCATAAACAAGGTAGAAATAAATGAAGATGTGGGACGATGTTAGATCAGTTTTGACTACTGGTGGCATTTGGGTCATATACAATGAATATGTACCTTGAACTCTGAGGTCCAACCGAAATGGAGTCTTTTCCCTGTAGAAAGTGATCCCATAGATAGATGTCAGGAAAGATTTATATAAGGATCTTGTTTTTGGTTTTGATGTTCATGCATTTAAAAAAGTATTTATAATTGTATCCATAAAATGATTGATAAACAAACAAACAAATAAATAAATATGAAGGGAGTGAAATATTGTCCAATTACAAAAGATCAAGTTAGGTAAGAAATTCTATTGATTTTATAGATATTGTTTCTATAGATGTCAGAATCGATACAAAAGTCATGCTTTTGTCCTGATTTCCTTGGCACAGATTTTATTATTAATGGAATGATAGAAGTATTAAACAAATAATTAAAATTTTAAAGAGTACGGTGAAGCAACTCATAACCAAAAGATATTATTAATACAATTCAAAAGATATTTATTAAGAAATAAATGTAGCGTATTCTTTCCTCTTTGGTTAAGAATCATACAGAAAGAAATATCTAAATCCCAAGTCTATGAAATGTAGTCAGCAAGGATCAATGTCGCGTAGGTCTCACCGTTTTTGTCACTTGCCGGCTCTGTGCTCCGGCCATCCACACACTCGGCCTGTTTCAGCATCTCTCCTGGTTGGCTCTACGTAATAACACTTGGAGATTAATGTGGGTAATAGTCAAAGTTATATTTTCTTGGTTAATTTTTTTTTTTTTTTTTAATCCTCACCCGAGGACATTTTTTCATTTTTTGCACAGATAGAGTGGGAGGGAGAGAGAGGAAGAGAGAGAGAGAGAGAGAGAGAAACATCGATGTGAAAGGGACACATCGAGTGGCTGCCACCCGTACGACCAACCAGGGCCGGGGACAAACTGCAACCGAGGTACGTGCCCTTAGCGGGAATTGAACCCGGGTCTCTCTGGACCGCAGGCCGATGCTCTAACCGCTGAGCCAAACCGGCCAGGGCAGTTAATTGTTTTTTTAAGGTAATTCACTACAGTATTAAAATTTATCAAATATGCCCTGGTCGGTTTGGCTCAGCGGTTAGAGCATCAGCCTGCGGTCCAGAGAGACCCGGGTTTGGTTCCCGCTAAGGGCACGTATCTCCGTTGCAGTTTGTCCCCGGCCCTGGTTGGGTCGTGCGGGTGGCAGCCACTCGATGTGTCCCTCTCTCTCTCTACCTCCCCTCTATCTGAACGAAAAATGGAAAAATGTCCTTGGGTGAGGATAAAAAAATAAAAATAAAAATTATCAAATACAATTAAAGAAGGAATGTACTTCAGTGATAAATATGGGCTATATGAACCATTATGTTTATTAATCCATGTATGAAAAGCAGGGTAATTAATCAAAGAGATACACCGATGGGAAAATAATATATGTACAGTTAAGGGATGCAATAACTCTTCTTGGGTTTTGATAAGACATAGTATTTGGATATTATTATTAGTGAATTAATGATTTAATCAATAAACAATTAAAAAGAAAGAAAATGGGCACCAGCAGAATCACTGATGACTACAGGTGGGGTTTGAGCCACATAGATGACCACGTGCCTGGAACTCTGAGGTCCACTCCTGTCGTTTGAAGGGATCCCAGAGACACATACCAGGAATATATGAGGATCGTCTTTTCGGTCTTAGTGTTCACACATTTCTATTCTCTTACTATATATAATTAGATAAATGCGAGAGCCTATAAACAAATATATAAGTAAATATGAATGTAGTCAAGTATTGTCCAATTGTAAAAATGGGTGGTTATGCAAGAAATACTATTGATGTTGTATGAAAACCCTGCAGTTTAATTAGAATGAATGGTACACGATTGTTACCTGTGTAGCTAAGGATGACACGGACAGTGGAAGTCACAGACAGTCTTCAGTTTCTGGGTCATTGGCAAGATCAACGTTTGTTTTCTTAAGAGAAAGAAATATTTATTCCAAATTAGTGACTGCCTAAATGCCTTGCAAAATGAAAGGTGAGAAGCCATAATCGAAGGAAAGAATGTCTACCTGCCCTGCCTTCCGTTCCCCAGGATGGACAGATTCCACCTGCTTCAAGGTCTCTCCTTGGCCGCGAGATCGCATCTCCGTCCTAGGAGCCTGGCGCCCAGGGTGAGTGAGCATGAACGTTCTTATCTTGGTTCTGGAGTTTGATCTAAGGACGTACATTGTCTTAATAAAAGGTGTGAAATGTAATCAAAGGTGAACTGTATCTTAGTAACAAGTACAGCATTACTCTGAAGTGTTATTTTGATCCATACATATATGGAAACTCGAGAGTAATTCATGATGGAGATATTTTGTGGTGAGAATGATGCTGGTTACCTTCTAAGACTATCAAGGCCTGGTTGGGGTGTTTTGAATAGTCGGGTTTTTAAATTATAAGTAGTGAATTAATGAGTTAATCAATAAGCACTGGAGAAATGGATGAAGACAAAGTGGTCTTCTGGATCAATGATGACACCTGCCGGCGTATGAAGCACAGATGGTGAATGCTACGTGTCTGCAACTCTGAGGTCCACCTCAGCAGCAGTGGGGTCTTGCTCCTCCTGCAAAGCAGGTCTCACTGTATTATTACCTGCTCTGCTCTCTGCTCCTCAGAATGGACGCACCGAGCGGATCTCGGCATCTTTCGTGGTCCCGTGCGCTCTGGTTGCCTTTGTATCATGGGAACGTGGAAACCATGTGAGTAAAACCAATATTTTACCTCGAGTGGCTTGTTTTAGGGTATTCACTGTATTATTAAAAGCATTAAATAAAATTTAAAAAGGCAAAATAGAGTAAAATTGAATATTAGGCTGATATGAAGCATTATATTGATTAATGTGTAAATGTAACCTTGAGGTCAGTTTTTTGGTCAGCATTCTTCTCTGGGGTCCAGTGGTTTTGGGGAAAGGGGTAGTTAGTGAATTATTAAAACGTACCATATCTAATCAAGATGGTCAACTGTAGTAAACATCAGGTACAACTTTGACTTGATTTATTAAGAGAAAAGTAAATAAATATTTCCATAAATTAATAAATGACTAAATAAGTGGTGGAAAGTATGAATCAATGTAGAAAAATTCTCAACAGTTTTATCCTGTTCTTTTGTTTTGTTTTGCTTTATGTTTTTATCTGGTCCTTTCTCTTCTGAATGGACACTGGAGGAGATCACTGCTGTCTGTCATCAGGATTGTCTGATGAGACACCCTTCTGTGTCTGGGAAGAGACAAGGTACGGAATGGGCAAAGTGGTCATCTTGGAGTGGGTCATTCGTTTTTGGGTGTTTACAGTATTATTTGAAAATACTAAGTTAATAAAAAGTTTGTCATGGCTGAGTGATAAATATGACAATCTGACATGAAACTGGATGTTTAATTAATCAGTAATGTGCAGGGTTGAGGTCTTTAATGAACGAGGTATTGTCGATGTGGAAAGTGATTCTGTACCCTGATGTTAGGGATACTCAGGAATTTCATTCTCGAGTTTTTATAAACCGCGCATTATTTTTATTGCCAATGAATTCATGATTGAATTGATACAAATGTAGTAATAAGTGATGAAAAATAGATCAAATCATGGACCAAAGATGACGGCTGATGGTGTAGGACTCGTGGACAATGAAATGCGTGTGTGAAACCCTGAGCTCTAGAACTGTTTCCTCGGTTAGAATTGTTTCTATAGAGAGATGTCAGGAATATAAAAGATCATATTCCTGTATTGATTTCACAGACATAGATTTGTGTTTATTTCTGGAATAACAATATAAGTATTAAACAAACATAAATAAATATGTAAAGAAGAATGGGGCGAAGCATTGTCCAATTATGAATGTTTGCAGTGAAGCAAAGATAATGTATGAAGACATTGATTCCATTAAGACACGAATCCAGAGGTCACCTCTGTGGCTAAGGATTATATAGACACTGATAAGGAAGGGTCCAATTTATTCTGGGTCAATGTCAAGATTGTGTGTTTACTTTTCTTAAGATAAAAGTAGATATTGAGAAAAAGTAATAAATACCTAAATACCGATTTAATGAAATGTAGAAAACAAGGATCAGTGACAGACCTAATTGTTTTTTCCGTCTGCCCTGCACTCCTCCAATGTCCTCCAGCTGACTTCCGTGTCTTCTGTGGTGACCAGCTCTCTCAGCCGCTACAGGAAGAGGACAGAGCTCAATGTGAGGAATAGTTCACGTTGTTTTCCTGGTGTTAGTGTTGTTTTTAAATATTATTCATTAAAAAGTGCAAAGTATATTTAAAAATGCAACTCAGACTCAGTGATAAATATGGGATATCCTTAACATTATATTAATGTATATAAGAAAAACTGAGTGTAATTAATGAGAGGTATATTGTGAAAATAATTCTATATATAGATTTGAGATAGTAAAGATCCTCTTGGGTTTTTGTGAATTATAGCATTTAAGAATTATTAGTCGTAAAATAATTACTAATCAATAAACCCATAGAAATGAATGAGAAAAAAGAAGGGCAATGCGCATCAGTGATGACCACTGATGGCTTCTGAGTTGCACACAATGAGTGCGCGTCTGGAGCTCTGAGGTCCAACATGAAAGAAAACTGGTTTACTACCTCCGTTTGAATGGACCCTTTGAACTGATGTCAGTAGTCTACAAGGCAAAATATTTCTACTATAATTGGGAATGGACAGTAAATAAATGGACAGTAAATAAATGGACCATGTGGATGTTGCCAAGTGTGTTTTGTCGTTGAGGAAGGGATGATAATAGGACATTTAGTGTAATAGTCAGTGCTGTGAGTTTGTTTCAAATTTGACATTTGATTTACTAAGAAACAGTATATTAACATAATTTAATAAATATGCAAATGACTATATGAAGGGATGATATAATATATGGATCAATGCACAGAATGTCAATTTTTTTAAATCATCTGCTTTGTTCTTTACTCTTGACAGTGGACACACTCAAGTATTTAAGGATTCTTCTGGAGTCACAATCTAATGTTTGCACAGGGAGAGCAATGTGAGTCATAGTCATAGTTCTTGTCTTGGCTTTGGTGTTTTTTATAAAGTGTTCACTATTTTCCAAGTGTGAAATCTAATTATTGAAGGTCAACCCTGGCCTACTCATAAATATGGGGCTCATATAAAGTATTGCTTTGATTAATCCATAAATGCAACATGGAAATTAGTAATGAAAGAGTTTTAGTGCCATGAGTAATAATTCTAAAAGAAATGTTTTATGTAACTATTTTACTCTCAAGTTTTGTGGCTTTAGGTATATATTTTCTTATTATTGGTGACCTGATTAATTAATAAAATTCATGTAGACATGAATTTAAAAAATGAGGACTGAGTTTGTATCAGTGGTGATCACTGATGATGTATGAGTCATGGATGATAAAAACTATGAAGATCCAACACAGTAGAAATTTAGTCTGTTTCTATGTTGGAAAAAATTCTATAGGTAGATGTAAGAGATATTTAAAAATCTAGTGCTTCTAATTTTATGGTTCATGAATTGTGATTATTATTATGAAAGAAACAATAAAAGAGTTGAGAAAAATATCAAATGATGAAAGGTGAGGAGATTTAGGCATAGTCCAGTTAATTAAGACATATGGTAAGAAAGAAATACTATTAATATAATTAGGAATGGATAATAAATGGACCAAGGGTTTTACCCCTTTGGCTAAGGGTCACATAGCTATTGAGAAGTAATAATTAGTGTATTGTTCTAGAACACTTGTAAGTCGAACATTTGTTTTAAGAGAAAAGTAAGCAAATATTATCATAAATAAATAAATGTTAAGTGACAGTAATTGAAAGGTGGAATGTAAAACACCAACAGATAGAAAGTCTCCACTTTTATTTTCTGTTCTTCTGGGTACTTCTCAGAATGGGCACTGCTACGCTGATGTTAACATGGTGCCACAGCCTCCAACTCCGTGGGCGTCTTAGGAGCATGAGGTCCATTGTGTATAACAGTCGCAGTTCTTGGTTTGTGGGGGTTAAGATTGGTCAATCGATTATTAAGGAGTAGGCAGTATAATAAAAAGACTAAACACGGTCCCTAACGAACATGGGATTAATATGAACAATTATGTTGAGACATGCATATTTGAAACAATGAGCCCAATTCAAGAAACATCTAGCGTCTGTGGGAAATGATTTTATAAACATTGGGGGTCAGAAGGCTGTTACTCTGGGTTTTCTGATTCATGTATATATCTTTCTTAGTAAGTAGCAAATTAATGAATAAATCAATAGACAAAGAATAAATGGAGAAAATGATTCATGGGCTTGGACCATTGATAAGGACTGGTGGCACATGTCAAGGATGATGGATAATATGTGTCCGATGTCTGAGGTCCGACACAAAAAGAAATCTGGTCTCTTGCTCCTTTGGACATGATCCTACAGACAGGTGTTAGGAATATTGTTATCCCGTTCTTGTGCTTTTATGGTTCATAGATAAGTATATTGTTACAAGTGAACTGATACATGAAGGATACATTAACAAGTAGGAATAATTGAATAAAAACCTGGGCACACCTGGACCCACTATAGCACATCCAATTCAGCACAACAGACGCCCTCTGGGAAAAGAAGTTCTAACCTCTTAGCTCTGTGGGTAAGGGACACAGAGACCGCTGTCTGCTACACTCCTAGTTCCTGTGTTGGGAGGCTCAATGAAGGGTGTCTGTTATATTGTTAAAATGGATAACTGAACACATTAATAAAACGGAGGGCCCAGCTGCTGTGGCTCAGTGGTTGAGCGTCGACCCAGGCACCAAGAGGTCGCCAGTTCAATTTCAGGTCAGGGCACATGCCCGGGTTGTGGGCCAAATCCCCAGTGGGGGGCATGCAGGAGGCGGCCTATCAGTATTCTCTCCCATTGAGGTTTCTATCTCTCTCTCTCTCTCCCTTCCTCTCTCTGTAAAATCAATAAAGAAAAATAAATAAATAAAGAAATAAATAAATAAATAATAAAATACAGGTCTATTCAAGAGCCAGAGATAAGAGTGTGACGTGACATAAATCATTGCTTATGAGTAATTTCTTCCACAGTTCCCTCCTGTTCACCAAATGAAAACCCCAATCCAGGACTTTTTATTTGTCAGCATTCTCTTGACATTCCACAGGGTGGACCCAACGTAGCAATTAAATTATTCTGCAGTATGAAGATCTTAGCCTTATCCCTTTGGCAAGGAGTGTATCATGCTATGTAAGTAATAAAGTTCTTGGTTTGGGTGGTTAGTTCCTAGGTTTCTATAATATCATTAAAAAAGAATAAACGTGATTCAAATTCTAAATGCCACTTTTAGACTTATGAGGGCATTTGTTATGAACCAAAGTTTATGCTTAATCCAAGTTAGCACAAGTGAAGTGCAAGAGAAAAGTTAGCTTTTTGCTTTCATTTCAAAACTTAAATGTCTCATTTTATGTGTTTCTCTCATTGGTACTTTTTAAATTAAATGTATTGGAGTGATATTGATTAATAAAATTACATAGGGTTCAAGAGTACAGTTGTATAATGCATCTTCTGTATATTGCATTGTGTGCCCACCACCCAAAGTCAAGTCTTCCTCTGTCACCATATATTTGACCCCCTTTACCCTTTACTACCACCCCCCCACCTCCCTTTCCCTCTAGTCACCACCATACTCTTTTCTGTGTCTATGAATTTTTGTTTTAAACACTTCCCCCCTTTGATAAAGATCTAGGCTCTAACTCATTTAGGGGAGTCGGGATTCTAATTGCCAAGGAGGCTAGTGGTTCATGGTTGCCCATTGCAATATCTGAACACTGTTTAAGTTCAATACAAGGGCCGCTCCTGGACCAATGATGTAAATGGAATGCATCTGAATAGAAATTATGATCAGTCGTTGTTCGAATCACTGAGGTCCATTGCAAGAAGAGAACAGGTGCCTGATGTTTTGGGAGATGACCTCAGGGAAATTTGAATTGAGTTGAGAGGGCTCCTGGATGTTGATTTTACATTATTAGTGGATGAATGAACGGACCAATAAAAATACATTCATCAGTGAAGAAAAGAGGTCAGAAAGTAGATAAATTTTGAGGCTCTTGGGAATGTTACTAATTCAGTTCTGAAATACTTTGGTCCATTAAGAAAAAAAAATCCAAGTTGTTAGTGTTTTGTGTAAGAAGTAGCTAGACAGACGTATTTATTTGCTAGACAAGGTTCGGCTTTTAGTTTGCTGTGGGTTCTCAGATGTTTAATTCATGAAGAAACAATGTTAATACTAAGCAAATGCTTAACTGAATAAATCAGTGCACAGTACAAACCAATAATGAGTATATTTTATTCTTTTTTTACATCTTTTTTGTATCCCAGACTGGCCACACCTTGGCTGCTTCAGTCATGATTTAATGACAAAGATCACGACCGATCTCCAAGTGGCCATGGAGAGCATAGATTAAGGTAAGGACTAAATTAAGTTTTTATTCTTGGTTTGGTCCTTCTGTTTATGGATTACAAGGATATCATTTAAAAAAAACAAATGGCCTTGTGCAGTCATAAAATCAAATGAAAGAAGACCACGGATGGACCAATGATAAGAATCTGTGTTGACAAGGGTCATAGTTAATTTATCTGTAAAACCAAGGCCTATTAGAAAAATAGGTTGAGACTAGACTGCCTCTTAGATTATAGACACATTCTAGTGTTGATCAAAGATCTTGTTCTTGGGTTAGTTGTGTTTTCCTTTCCTTTATTAAATAAATAAAAAGTAAATATACTAGTTAAATTATAATGTTCACATCATGGTCATTGATGTATTATTTATGAAACAAGGATTTGTTTAACTTGGGTCAACTATTTTACCATTCTGTGTAAGGAGTCCATAATAGAGAGATCTAAGTAATAGTCAAATGGTTTCCACTTGTTTGCATGGAGATTCTTTTCTGTTGACTTAACTTTTGTAAACAAGTAACTGACCAACATGATAAACAAGGGGGGAGTAGAATCACAGAAAAGTAAAACGATCAAGAGTATTCCAATGATAAAATTTGGCCAAAAAAAGAATCATGATCAACCCAACTTCGCTTCTCTGGGATTCTTTTAACCAAAAAAGATTGAATCTGTTACCTCTGTGTATAAGGAAGATATAGACAGATGTTAAAACTTTCATTGCTTGTGTTCTGGTATTTTGGTGGGTTCATGGACCTTGTTGTTATTATTATAATTGTTGTCGTTATGTAGCAAATCAATCTATGAAAAACTAAATTATATAAGGCAAAATCATGGACCAGTGAGGAAAATGTGTTTTGAAACAAAGATTATGATTATTATAGCTCTGCACCACTGACATTTATGATATAAAACAGTTGTCTTTTTATGTATTTGTTCTGATAATATATAGCATATAGCACTACTCTCTATGTTGTACTGAAATAATTTAGATATTTTTGTATCTTCTTACATGGGTTATTTTTTTCCCCTATCTCAGGCATAAATACTATTGACCTGGTTTATTTGGAGATGATGGTAGAAGGCCCTTATATCCCCTACTTAAAATTTTTATGGCACTTTGTTATTTGAGAGAGTGCTAAAATAACTGATACTAAGGTATTAATTTCAGTTCAGCAAATATTGACCGGAATCCATTTAAGACTCTGCATTGGTCAAGGCATTTATATCTGAATCCCACCTAGTTCTAGTCTAATCTTTGAGATTAGTTGAAGACCTATTTATAGATGTAACAATTCACTATAATAGGGCAAGTACACGGACTTTCCAGAAGCACAGAAGGTGGCTCTTCAGCTTATTCTTAAGTACCAAATACTTTATTTGAAGAGATGCACCAGTGACTAACTCACCAGGTTCTAAGCTCATAAAGTGAGGAGCAATACTCATCTGCCCCTTGTGTCTTGCATGTAGAACACATGTAATAAACATACGTTGAATGAGAGTTGAATAAATGATAATTGAAATAAAGAATGAGTGAAGTAGTGAGTTAGTGAAAGAATGAGTCTTTGAGTAAACTAAGGAATGAAAACGTGAAGGAGCACAGCAATGAGTGAATGAGTTGAGTAACTAAATTAATAGGTGCATATGTGCATAATGAATTGGTGAGAGGAGGAGTTGATCTGTAAGTAAAAATTTCAAAAAGGGAATAAGTGAGTGAATAAAAGAAGGTAGGTCAAAGTCAGTAAGTGAAAGATGAATGCACAAATGACGAGTGAATAAATGAATCTCTGAATGAAGTTATTAACTAATGGATAAGTGAAAATTAATTAGTAATGAGGGAATAAATGAACCAGTGAGTCAATGAGTGAATGAATCAATGAGTTAATGAATAACCCAGTGACTTGATTAATAAGTAAAAAAAATGAGTGAGTGAATAAATGAATAAATCAATGAAAGAGGAAAAAGTTGGATAATTTATCTAATGAGTAAGTCAATGAATGAAACAAATTAATGAGGGAATGAATCAGCAAATGGATGGAGGAATGAACATATTACAGTGAAAGAATAAAAGAATTAGTGAGTAAGTAAATGAGTCAGTGAGTGTGTAATCCGAGAATAAATTAACTGCCCTGGAAATGGATGAATGAATACACAAATTAATCAATAAATGAATGAGTGAGTCAATAAAGGATTGGATGAGCCTGTGATCCATGTGTGAGGCAACCAGTGAGTGACCTCACCCTGGGACTCCTTCCCTGACCACTCCAGAGAGTTAACTCCAGCCTCCCAGCACATTGTAACCACCTCACCCAGATCACCAGTCCTGTTCTGTCCTGGGCATTTGTTTACACGTCATCCCTACTTTGATGTGCCCTGAGAGCTAGGAACTGAGTCAAATTTGTCTCTGTATCCCCATCACCTACCCAGCCCTGAGCCTAGGAGGTGCCAGTAAATTATTTATGAATGAATGAGTAACTTAAAAGACACGTGCTTTTGTGGAACCAGGATAGCCCTTCTCAGGATGGCCTGGGACGTGTTCCGTGGGGAAGTGTGTGTTGTGTGTCAGATGGTTGGTGGCATCTCCTACACAAGTCCAGATTCTCCCTGGAGTCCAGCTTTCTGTGTCCAGTGCCAGACAGCGAGACAGGATACTGGCAGTTCTGACTGCCCTGGACATTGGCCCATTCTTGGGCAACATTGGTTTGGCATGAAGGAATGGGAGCCCTGGGTCTTCCCGAAAGCTGCCCTTGCCCCTGCCAAGACAGGCGATCAAAAATAACCCGGTCTTGTTTTCATCCCTGCAGTGAGTGGCCGCTTCTGGCCCTGGTTCTCGCTGTGGGACTTCGAGTTAGATGCTAAGCACTCTGAACCCAAACTCAGCTTCCTCCTTTAGATGGAGGTACGAATGCCCACCCAGTGGATGGGTGTGAAAATGCAGCTCG